AAATGTTTTTTTTTTTCAGACATTCATGTTCCCAAGATGATGAATCCCTGTGGTGATTCTCCGACTTGTCCTCTAACGCCACCGGCAGGTTGACATTTTGGGTTTTGGTTAAAACGTCTCACAGAAATTCAACTTCCCCTCAGGAGGAACCGTAGTAACTTTGGTGATCGTCTGTCTTTTCTTGTGCTGTCTGTGACCAAACGCCTGCAAAACTAACAACAAACTACTTTTTAGCCAACCATTCGGTAAAACTGTTTTCACCAGTACAATTGAATGAAAGAATGAACTGGACTTGCTGTTCACTGCACAAACCTAAAGTCAGGTGTGATTTGCCTGTAGCTGACAACACGTATATATTATCATAAAATTGAAATTAAAATCCTTTGCACAACTTTTTAAGCCTTAAAAAACTTGGAACAACACTCAGTGAATTTAGAATAACTGAGCTTTAGTTCCTGTCTTCCAGTTTGTGAACCAGCCAAACACTCGTTTTCTCTGTGAGGCTCTATTGAGGCTTTATTAATGCTCCCGTTTGCCTTGATTTGTCCTGAGGCTTAAGAGCACATTCACGTGTCTTTATTTAATTCATTTACTCAACTTTCTTCCATTTTTACTGTAATCTATTGTTAGTCTTTGCTTTTTAAGATATTAAACACCTTAGGTTCAGTTATTCACAGTGAACGTTGTGTACGGTTGACTTGGAAATCACTGAGCAATTTTAGCAGGAAGAAGAAGAAGCTGTGGCTGTGCTGCGACAGAGCGGAGTTCAGGGAGGGGGTCACTGTGTGGAGGGCGGGGCTCACCATCTGCTTCTTAATTCAGTAATCTTGTTAAAACTGGAAACCTTTGAAAAAGCAGCGGGGCATTAGCATTGTGTCCGCAGGAGCAGAGGTCGTGTTAAAGACTTGCTAATTTAATCAACAAATCATGGATACGACCATCTTCCTTCTTCCTTTCTGTCTGATTGAGTTGCTCAGTCATGGAAATGTCTCACTGCTTTTCTTTATCTTTTTTTCCTTTACTGGTGACACACTAGACACTTTCACGTCTTCCAGGCTCTAAAGAAAAATCCTTAAAAATGAGACAAAACCTGGACGGAAAAATAACTCTGTCGATATGTCCACATGTGATCAGGCGTCAAAACTAAATGTTGCTTAATTTAAGGAGTCACAAACAAAAAACGCTGGAAAAGGTAGTTTCGTGTTTCTTCTGGATAAACGCGAGGGATGAAAACAGTTAAAAAATAACCACCAGCTAAAGGTGTTTTCCCACGGTTTGTTTTGTTTGACCAACAGATAAAATATTAAACTTAGCATTTAAAAAAAGCTGCAAATCCACAAGTTTGAGAAGCTGGAAGAGAACGTTTTTTTACTTCAATTATCGAAACTGTTATCAATTTCAATTTCTTTTGTTTCAGAATTTTCTGCTTTTCACTGTTTTCTGTTTCACGTCATATAAACAGAATATATTTGGTAACGGTTGGTCAGATAAAAGAAGTCATTTACACGTTTTCTGCTGGACTCTGCCCTTTTTCACTAATGTCTGACATCTTATTGACTTATTGACTGAATTAATGAATCAAGAAAAACATTGATAAGGACAACTGTGATTAGTTGCAGCGAACGATTCACTAATAGATTAACTGACCAATTGAATGACGAGCTCCGGTTCCATCTGTTTTGACCAGACTTCTACATTGGGGGATAAAGCAACAACAGAGCAATCCAAACCATCCGAAAAGACAGCCTGATATTTGGTATTTTCTTCAGACGACAGCAGACGTCGCCGGTCTGCAGTGCTGTAGGTCTTTATTTGTCAGAGCTCCAGCGGCACTGCTACTCAGTTTACCCCCGAGACGCTCTGTTGGCAGGATGGGAAGTAAAGTAACTGCCAGTCTTTGAGGATCGCGCCCCCTGTGGCTCGTCAGTCCTTTTGTCAGGCGGCAGCCACCACGCTGTGATCCACAAATAGACCAAGTGCCTCAGTGCTGCACATGAAGGGAAGGGACAGATGGACCTGTGGTTCCCCTCGCCACAATGCCTGTTGATGTCGCCCCGGGACACGACCTGAACTTTCAGGATGTGGTGGTGGGGAGTGCGATAGCAGCAGCAGCAGCAGCAGCAGCAAAGTCAAGAAAAAGACAGAATCAGGCAAGAGTCAAAACAAAACATCTTGTGGCTGAACGGTTCTCAAGACGCCTTTATCCCCGTATGACTGCTTCAAATGAAAACAGCATTTCCTTTGCCACGACAGGAAATATATGGAGAATACAAGTACAACCAGCAAATGTTTGTGCAAATATTCATGGAAATTCATCCAGTAGCTGTTGAGATATTTCTGTCTGGACCAAAGAGGTGGACCAACTGACAGACCAACATCACCATCACTTCATCCACATTGCTAACGTAGCTAAAGAATACCAATAGCAGCTATCTACTGTGAGGATTTACTACTTTTTTAATGTTTCACATCATTTTAAATCTCATATGAGCTCTGGACTGTTGGATGGATGAAACTCGCCCTCTGCAGATATCACATTGGGCTCTAGAGAATTACAACAGTTTTCATTATTTTATGATTTTTTTTTTTTTTTTAGACAAATCACTTTTTCAATTGTGAAAAAATAAACAACAGATTAAACAATGATGAAAAATAATTATCAAAAACCCAAAACACAAAGTCCATTTCAGGGAGGATCGATCTATGGCTTTTATTTTCCCTTTAACTACTGTGATTAGCCAGATTGCCATTTGCCTCATAAATGTAACATGCAACATGTCAGTGGTGTAGATAATGTAACGCGCCTCTTCTTGGCACCGCTGATCTGGAGCACTGACTTGTTCAGCTGCTAAATATGATCCGATGAGCTGTTTTTTTCATGCAGATGGTGCACAATAATGTTACATTTTGATTTATACAGAATGCAAAAAAAAAAAATAAATGTTTCTCAACAGTCTGGCAGCTGAAGCTTTTAGAAGAAAAACAAAAACCATGGAAAGGCCAGTGTGTGTTGCACAGATTTCTGGGGTGTGAAAGTCGCACCAACCATCAGCCAAATGCTTGTTTGGGTTCTCAACCTGCCATGATGCCAGGTAAACATCTCATTTGGTTATTTTATTTTGCTCTAAAAATACAGCTGACTGGTGAGGAGGTGGTTTCCTGTCCTGCACACATGTCAAACTGCTCTAAATCGTTCCTGTTCCGTCCTCACAAATTAATTTGTATCTCTTACAACTATTCACATGTAAAAATGACTTTTTTGTGCCCTGCTTTTATTCAGCTAATGAGTTTGTCCATCAGAAGGAGAAGGACCTCGTCTAATCTTTCTGTTTCCCTGCTCACCTGTCAGTCATCTGCCAGCTCCTCATCACACAGACGTGTTGTGTTAACCCAAACTGGACCACAATCCCCAAACTGTCAATCAACTGACACCGGTGAAAAGCCCTCTTAATATTCCCACAACAGTCCAAAGATATGCAGTTGAACTCCACATCAGGTCTATAATGACTGACTGCACGTTCTTTAAAAAGGGACTTTGCAGTAATAATTAGTTGCAATTAGGCTTGAGCGATACCCAAAATCTAATATCGTGATACAGTCCAGCCCAAATGCCGTGACATACGATATTATCGAATATTGGCCCAAGTCTGGGTGCAACATTTGTTACGGCTATTGCTGTATTCTCTGTATTTATAAATTAGATAATAATTTGAATATTGCATCCAGTGCGTTTATACAGCTCGTCAGTGATGATATCAATATCTGAAAGAAAAACCATACTCGAAGATCTTTGAGTTTTACACTGATGATGGTCAGATAAAAAAAATCACTTTGCTCTTTGAGAAGTTACAGCCGAGTTTTATGACTCTTTTCTGATATTCCGTACGATTCCTTGACAACAAATCATCATCATCATCATCATATTTATCTGTCAGGCTCTAGTTTATAGGAGTAAAACATCACATGATTAATCGCATAGGAGCATTATTCCTGCTTTAACATGGCCGGCACCCAGAAACCAACCAATACTCTAGAGCTGAAGGGATTAGCTGAGTTATCAATTAGTTGACTGAGAGAAAATTAATTCGCAACAATTGTTTTTCACAATTTTATGACATTTTAGACGTTGAACAATTGATTACAAGAGTTTTTTTTAGATTCATTGGTGGTCAAAATGATTGTTGGTTGAGGCCTTATCGTTGTCCTAAGAGCAATAATACGACTTTTCCTTTGGTTCTGATAAAACACAATTTTACAACAAATAAGTCTTTAAACTAGATTTTGTCCTTCTACAAGAGCAGGGCCACACGGCGGGGGGATAAAGTACCTCACTGATATTCAGTGCTGCAAATTCCTCACAAATTAACAATTAATCAAATTATGCAGACCCAAATAATATAGAGTAAATCTGGCTTTTGAGGACCCTGGAGGTCTGGAAGACCTGGGGATGTTGCCAGGTTGGTGAACCTGCTTTATATGAATATTAACGTACAACAGTTTAATTTCATGTCTGTCCCTTCACGTTAAAACGGGTCAATTTAATCTAAATTTGTCCTGCAGCTAAAATGCACATGTTGTTCTTGTGTTTGTTTTTTTTATCTATAGTTGTATTTTACTGATTTTCACACTTTCACAGCCACAAGGTTCAAAATAAACTTCATCCACCCTTTAACAAAAGATGCTGCAGTTGCCTGTCTAATCGCTGCCATTAATATGCACTTTGTTCACATGCTTAATTCATTTTATAGTCTCTAATGAATGTTGTGGTATTTTACCTGCTCCCTAACATTATTTCAAACCAAGTGTTGAATTTTAACAGTCACAAATCTTTAAACTGAACTGTCGGTTTTGTCGTTAAAACGTGGTTCAAATCTTTAACTAAGTAAACATCGTTTCAGAAGAGAGTTAAACTAAGTGTTTAATGACAGACCTCTGCAGGCTACAACCTGAACGCTGTTATTAGAGAGTCGCTGCTGTAAATATAAACCGCTGTAACTTACCGCTGAGGAATAAGCTTCTGTGTCCGAAACGTGTCTTTTATCTGTTGTTGAAGTGAAGTCGAGCGTCTCCGGACAAACTAATAAATCCGACAAACTCTCACACCGACATTAACGCCTTCAGCAGCTCAGCTCAACGGCAGCCGGACGACTTCTGCTCGTTCCTCGATGTGGACTGTTGGAGACGTTTCGCTCCCAGATGAGCCGCTGTCAAGTTAAACACAGGTTTACTCACTACAGGTGACACGATGTCCTCGTTTCAGAATAAAAGCACAGCCGGAAGTGTGTGACTCGTCACATTCTCCGTGTATCTACTACGAGCTGCACATCTTTCTACACATCAAAGTTTGTTTACAGAACGTGAGCATGTAAGAAAATTAATTTATAGAGAAATAAAAAGTAATAAAACCTCACTGAAATCACATTCGTAACTTTGCTGATATTAATAACAGAGCGCAGTTGAATGAGTTCTAAAACCCGGAAGTTGGCTAGCATTTTAGCACTTCCGGTTCCCTCCTCTGTGGGATTTTCAATGGGTTTTTGGTGCCTGAATTAAGGTTTGTTTGAAGTGTTTACTAAAACATTGGTACCAGTGTTGTAGTCCTCAAGTCACAGACTCGGACTCATGTCTTGAGCACTGATGACTTGGACTTGGGCACTGATGACTTGGACTTGGACTCGAGCATTGATGACTTGGACTTGGACTCGAGCACTGACTGCATTCAGACTCAGAAGTTGGAGAGGAGGACTGTCAGACTGTCCAACTCGGACTCAGGTAATGGGGACGCAACTCAGACTTGGGCTTGGACCTGATCACCTGGATCACTTGAGGCTTGACTCGGGCTCACGGTTTAGGACTCGACTACAACACTGGTGGTTGGTACACATACTGCTTTGTTTACTTGCTGCTCAGACCGTCAGTTTAGATCAGCGTAAGTGCCGTGTTGTGTTTAGTGGAGCTGAAACAAAGTGTAAACCACACTTCGCAGGTTCAAAGTGAGACTGTGTTGGTGGAGTTTTGGAGCGGAACAATTAATACATGAAGTCAGGTGACCTTATGTAACTCCTAACAAAGCTGTGCCAAACTCTAACCTGAGCAGAGGTTCTCAACCAGAATATCTGAAAACACCTGTGTGGGTGAGCAGGGCAGCTGTTATGAATTTTTTATGTGAAATAGCCGCTCAGTATTTTCATGTTTTATGAGCCTTTGTAGTTCATAAACCCAGTAATACTGTTGAAGTGTCATATCAGAAACATTAAAACTGGCAAATTAACCGCTAAAGAATCCATGCACAGTTTGCCCTTCACATCTCTGATCTCGAATTTGTTCTCTACTCAGAAAACTATGCTAATATGCTGCAGCTAAACGTGGGAAGCCATCACTCGCACGCTGCATGAAACAACTAAAGAATATAAAATGAGGACAGAGATAAAAAGGATCGAGTCTTCCCTCCACTCGCGCAGCTCTGTGTTTTCACTGACACTGGGTTCATTCTAATTGACTGCTGCAGATGCAGTTGATGGGCCAGCGTAGCCACGATGCCTCTGGGCAAGGTGACCTACTCCTGCTCGATCAGTAGATATTTTCATGGAGCCGCTCCACACAGTTTAGTTCAGTTTGTTTGGATCGCTTTTAACTTGTAATGTGGCGCCAGCAGTTTATGTTCAGTATGTTGGAGACTACATTTGCAAGTCATAAAGTCATAAAGTCTGTGTTGAGCTGTGGAGCTACAGCTATGAAATGCCTGATTTATTTATTTCTTTGCTTTGTGAATATAAAAGGTTCTTTTAAAAAAAGGCCTCATATTTTAACAGCCCAGCTTTTTGTGTGAAGGGGTTTAGGAATACAACCCACACAGCTCTGTGTAATGGCAGAGAAGCAGCGTCATCCTCAGGCTGCTAAACTGTGAACAGTGCACCTCTGTTCCCTCCACTGACAGAGGAGCACCATCTGGCAGAATATGTCGAAGACACCGGGGAGCACGAGTCTGTTCAGCACAATCAGGAACAGCGATGAAGACGAGTGAAACCTCCGCTCACCACCTTCTCCATGGGTGGTCCGACTGACATCCGCATTTTCAGTTGTGTGGAATGTGCACCCTCGCTCTGCTGCGTGTCCACAAACACAGATTAACAGTTTTGTTTTCTGCTCTCAGAGAAGAGGGGACCTGCAGCGGTTTGAAGGCTGAGACTGGGAGGGTGATTTTTAAATAATGCAGCAGACATGCCACTCTCACAGTGGGCGAGAGAGCCAGTCACAGCAGGGAAACCATAACTCATCACCGGGACTTATCTCAGATTGTGTTTTGTCCAGGAGCACAAAAGGCTGCAGCCGCTTCTTCTCATAGGCGTTTTGTTCTAAAATCATTACAAAAGAAACAGTGACAAAACTTTACTGAGCATCACATACATTCAGAAATGACTCTTCAGCATTGATGGATTACCAAAGGCCTACGAGGCACCGGCCCAGAAACTCTGTATGAAGTTAAGAGACAAAAAAAAAAGAGTTAAGAGATGCAAAATTACCACAAAGTTATACAACTTGACCAAAGACGCAAAACAACTGCAGGGAGACAAATCAAACACAAAGAAACAGAAAATGACCAGAGAGACTCTGAGACAGACTGTAGGACATGAATTGGACGCTAGACTCTTCCAGTCTGGAGTCCAATGTACAGTAAGTGGGGTGGGCCCAGTCTGAACCCAGGGGCCCATTTTCTCATAATCCATCCGTGCTTTTCAGATGATCACTTTCTGCTATTAGGTCAAATGCAAATGAAAAGCTCATGTCACCGTTTACTGACACATTCACCATATTAACTTTATACAGTGATAATGTGTCAATGTTGAGTTCACATCTTGTTCTGATAAACCCAAACTGGAGAAAAATAAAAAATATATATTAAATACAAAGAGCACATTTGGAGTCATAATCAACTTCTCTCCTTTATTATTATTTATTATTATTATTATTATTATTATTATTATTATTATTATTATTTATATTTACAGACTGGTACTTTTTCAACTTTCTTTAATGAGAAAATGAACATTCCTATGAAAATCCATATTATTGTTTAATTTTGCATCTACTATTGTGGTGGATAATAAACTGGAACACCTCGTCTTTCAAACAAATATAAAACAGAAACTGCAATCAAACTCCAAAATGATGAAGTGTTGAATATTTATTGTGGCAGAAAGAGTCTTTATGTGAAAATTGTGTCAAGGCCATAAAACAGTATGGTTAATACACAGAGGCACTCTCAGACAAAGCAGCTATTTGTGTTTAGAGAGCAGCCACGTTAGACCACGCAGATAAAAACATTCAACCGTGCCTCAGAAATGAAACAAAAGACACCCTGCATACAAATGACTCCTTTTTCCTTCTGATTTCACCACCCAGAGCATCATCTGCCATCCAGAGTGACAGCTTGTCTGCCTCAAATCACCCGTCCACCACCAGTGAAATTGAGCATCTTGCTGTGTCCTGTCAGCTGAAGAAAGACATTTAGGAGATACAAAAAAAACCACCTCCGTGTCTTTTTGTTTGGAGCGACGTGGAGCAGTGAATTGTGAGTTAAGCCGGTGTGTGCTCTGTCTCTGTCCATTACCACAGCGTGCTCCCCTGTCACATGTGATGGGCACAGCGATCCCCGCTGCAGGTGCCTGATGTATGAACCCTGACAGGCCTCCGGAGGACTTGCAAGCATGAAGGACTTTGGGAAAAGACGGGTCGCCTGCTGGGGCTCGGCGCAAGCAGGGGGTAGATTTGTGTCTGAGTGAGCTGTTGTGATTGAAAGAGCGCTGGAAGCCTCGCACTGATGTTGATGTGTGGAGAAAACAAAGTGTTCAATGGCATTTGAACCCTTGAGTAAGAAAGAAGCATTTTTAACATGCTCAAAAAGATAATATTAAAGATCCCCTCTGATGAAGATCAAGTGTTTACCCTTGTCAACATGTCCAAATCATGTTTTTTCATATAATACAAGAAATATGAGTGAAATAATCAGTCAACACCATGAGTGAGTATTTCCACCTTGGAACTGTCACAATATAATTTTGACTATAACGATAAACTATAAAGAAAAAAAGAAATAGATATCATGCTAATACACACACAGTATGATAATATCATGACGGCAGATTAATTGGTTTGATGCTATCAAGGATGGAAAAATGCCTCGTAAATGAGTCAATCTCATAAGCGTGAGTGAGCCAATCAGCATGCAGCACGCTTGGACCAAGATCTAATAATGCTGATGATTGGCTGTTTATTTACACAATTGAGTCCGAGTGTGAAATGAGACCGAGCTTCAAAATAATACTAGAGTAAAACTAAAATTTGTACCGTAATGTGTATTGTAATTTTCTGCAAATGTTTAATTAATATATGTTAATAATACCGACACCAGACACCTTAAAGATGACGTGTGCCAATAATCTTTATGTTAACACACTTTACTCGTCCTTTGTTTGGGCGCTTTAATGCAGCCATCCTCTTCTCATGGTGCAACCAGGAAGTAAACAGCTCTGGTCATGTGACAATTCACACTAAACATGTGACACTGCACAAATTTCATTGAGACAATTTATTTTTTCAGTATTTGCTGGAAATGCTTTTATAGAACAATCTGTTTTAGAGTTTTATAAGTGAAAATATTTTATTTTATCTGGCTGAACTCCAAACTCTGCCTTGTCCATTATCGCTACAACATTTTTCATGGTCACTGTTGTGGCCGATGGGATTAAACAGGTTAAAACACACAGACATTAGTCACCACTTCAGTGACAAATTGAGCTTTTTGCAACATTTCACTCCAGATGTGAGGAATTAAATTAAATATGTTGTTGGGCAAAAACACAGAATCTCAAACCTTCGCTCTCAAATACAAAATAAATTCTCTTGTAGTGAACATTGATACTGGAGGAGGAGGAGGAGGAGGAGGAGGAGGAAGAGGGATAGGTGAAGGAGGAAGACTCCTGGGTCTCCGCACATACAGAATAACAAACACTCTCCCTGCTGTTGGGACAGACACCTGGGAGACCTTGTGGACATTTACAGCTATGTCAATAACTCCAGTGAGGTCTTCCATGCTACATTGCCTTCCTGTACATGAGGAGAAACCAGGAGCTGCGAGTGTCGAGCTTAAAACCCAGAGGACTGAAAAAATGACTCATGCAGCATTTCAAGAGCCGGTCTATCAAAACACAACCTACACGAACAACAGCAGCCTCACAGTTTTTCATTAATTTCTGGCACAAACAACTTGCTAAGATTGAAACAAGGAAGATATTTCTACTGAAGGTCACGATTTAAAGAGAAAATACTCTTTTTATTGTAACAGTCTTGATATGGAATTATATAGATTTAGCTATTCCTAATGTTGGTCAAGATTTTACATTAACCCTCTCTGGGGGAAATATCTTTCAGGAGATTCAGACAGGTGTGATCGGTAAATCTGCGCGGTTCAGAAGAAGTAAATTCCCTGAGGCTGTTTGATTCTTGAGAGTTTGGTGTTGGTTGTTCAGTCCACCATTTTGGCGCAGACTGACACATCTCAACAACCACTGGATGCATTGTCATGAAACTTGACAGATGTTCACGGTGCTCAGATGATGAATCCAAATGACTTTGGTGATCTTCCGACTTTTCCTCTAGAGCCACAGTGAGGTTCACATTTGCAATTTTTAGGGAAATCTCTCCAGACGTCAGAAGTCCTTACCCTATCTCAAAGTCTGAGCCCAGCCACCCTCATTTCAGCCACTTCGCAATCCACCGTCACCACCTGAAGCTCATGTTCATTCATGTTCCCCTCAGGAAGAACCGTATAACTTTGAAGACTCCTTGGTAACTTTTCCCCTAGCGCCAAAATTACTGACATTCCCATCAGCCTCAGCTGTACAACAAAGCACTGCTGCAGAGCTGTCGGCGTGGCTGTAAACCTGTTTAAATTCAGATGAAATTCACTAACAGTTGTATGCTTTGACGGGGTGCAGGGTGTAGGGTTTCAGTGATCACCATCTACACATATTGCATAATAAATAGAACTGTACTCAGTGCTGTACCGCGAAACAAGCGAGAGTAAGGCAATTTTCAGCAAGACTTCAGTTCAGGTGCCGTGTCTCAAACAGTATCAGGAAGAAAAGAACACAATGGGTTTGAGCTCTGAATATTTTCAACCATCAGAAAAGTCTTCACACCGTTTTAACCTCTTCAACTTCCTCAGCAGCCGTTATCAATGAGACGACGACCCCACACAGACTCCATCAGTATCACTAATGACTTCCTCTCTCTGCGCTCAACGCTCCTCATTGTGAGGTGAAATTACATTACGCTCAACATGGCTGATGATGATCTCACTGGTCTGGATTGTGGAGTGAGTGTGTGTGTAAATGCGAGTGAGCAGACGTTCACATACACACACACACACACACACTCACACACACAAAGCCAAAATGTCTTGCCTGTTTCCTGTCAGCTGTTGTTTCTCACATGTCTGTGATGAAAGATGTCTGATGTGACTGTGTGTGTTTTTGGACCATGAGCTGAACACACTCATGTACAGTAACTTTATTTAGTCATTTCCTCAGCAGCAGGTTTTCACACGTTACAGAGAAGAAACCACATTAGGATCAGCCGACCAATAATCAATCAACACGCTACTGACAACACACTGACCATGACAACTCTGGGTCATACACACAGATTCACTTTATGGCTCTACTGGCACTCACTGGCATTTATTCATATTCTGACTGCAGCCACATATGGATTACTGAACAAACCTACAGAGCTCAGGCCCAGGGGCCAAGAGGTCAGGGGGCCGCAACTCACAGCCTCTGTAAGAGAAGTGGCTGTTAATAGTTCTTGTTTGAAAGTCACAGAGCTCAGAGAAAAGACACAAAATGACCACAAAGATACACAAAAAGGGTCTAAAAATATATATACAACAAACAAAAACAGACTCAAAATTACCTTAAAGACGTGAAAAGTCACCGCAAAGAGAATCAAATCTATGAAAAAGACTCACAAAAGGCTTTAAAAGAGATGCAAAATAAAACAGAAACAGACACAAAATGACCACAAAGAGATGAAAAATGACCATAATTGCGTCTCTTTGTGTTGTTTGCCGTCGTTTTGTGTCTTTTTCAGTCTGGATGTTCTATAGTAAGGGTGGTGGGGGGGCTGATGAAAACTGTTGGACTGTTGTGCGTTTGTGTGGAGGACACTGCATGAACACTTTGCTTCGCTTTGAGGCGGCAGTTGAATGTGTGTGTTGGACAGGTGAGGGAGAGTCCCTCTGCCTCTGAGGCTGAGGATGTGTGAGTGTGATGAAGGTAGCTCAGCATGTCACTGTTATGTGTGTGATAGAGTCTTCTTATGAAGAAGCTGCATTCATTACCGCTCGAACACCTGAGCCCTGAATTTACAGAATAGATTATGTTTTTTATTTACACAATGAAATTAATCTGAGAATTTAATTCATTATGAATGTTCATATAAAAGTTTTATATGTTAATATCTGACCCGTTTCTCTCTGTTACATTGTGCAAAAAAGCATTATATTAATACATTATAATATATAGTATACAATATTATAATATGTTATATATATTTTTTGTGAATGTCATATAATACAACTATAAAACTATAAACAAGTTTGAAAAACAAAATCTCCAAATATTCAAATAGACAGCAGTTTTTACTCATTAATGCTCCAACAGACACAAGTGTAGTTCAGTTCTTTATCAGTTTGTCTCTTCTCTCTATTACTTGTTTCTTTGGACACTTTCAGAATAAAAGCAGGTTCTTAAATAGAGTCACATCGCCCTCCAGTGGTTTGAGCAGGAACTACAGACTGTGTGCAGGCTGCCTGCAGCTTTATACTGTTGCTCTGCTCTGTATTCATTGTGTATTTGATAATTAATTTGACAACATCGCCTCAGGTTCTGTTGGAGCTTTTGATCATAACACATGGTCTTCATCGGAAGATTACATCATGGAAATTAAATGTGCTTTAAACCCGTCTTGCTCATGTTATCTTAAAAAATGATTACTGGAATTAATACTGGATATGAAGTTATTATGTTATTATCACATTATTTTTGTGAGAAACTCTCTACATCTCTAAAAAACAAGCTGCTGTTGTGCTAATGCAAACAGTGATACTTAATGGTATCACCATGGGTCAATTTTAAGAGTGTGAAGCTTAATATAGCACAGTGTGCAGCACAGTAAACACTAGCAGAGTCTGAATGAAACAGTTCATGTACAGTACTTCAAAATAATAAAAAATACCAAAAGTAAAAATATTTGTGGACACACTGCTGTGAGACTCAGCAGCTGCAGAGTCAACAGTTTCAGCTCCATCAGGCAAGTTACAGCTGCTGGCGTTCTGCCACTTGCAGGCAATTAATGTTTCAGCTGTAGTTTCTTTTTTGTTTGTTTGTGTTATAGCTAATGTGTGTTTGTGTGCATGTTTTTAATTTTTATTCTTTTAATCCAACTAAACTCAAAGACATTTCTAAAACTGCAGGTCCTGGACTTTCACTTGGGGGCATACAAGAATTTGCCTTTTTCGTACATGCAGCAAATACAGAGCAACATTCATTTGCTGAGCAGGTGGAGGAAAGTTAAGTTGCTGCTAGAAACAATGCTGATGATAGCTGAGTGAGTGAATAAATACAATGAAGTTGTGGCTGTAAAACCAAAACAATGAGCTTAAAGAGGCTAAAAAGCTCTATAGCGCTGTGGGTTACTGCAGAGCCGGGTGATAATTCTCTGTGGTTTCGCTTTACATTTTATTTGACCCTTTGTGAAAGGAGCTATTTCTAAGTATTTCTATTGCTAGATAGCCAACGTTAGCATTAACAGTTGATTACTTACATGTCTAGAAGAAACGTTGAGCGTTCAGCATCAATCTTCATTCCTTTAGTCACCAACAGCTGTCTCCAGCGGTGGAAGGCAACACCAATGTTAGCTCTTGTCTCCATCACATCTTTTCTTCCACTGAAGTTAGCATGCTAGCCAGCTAGCCTCCGCACATCGTGTCACTTTCTGATAGCGACTCATTGTAGGCTTCAATCTGCACTGAAGATGTCGCGGTGCTCAGAGGGCGTATTATAACCTCTTGTCTTTTAAACGCGATGAAGCTTTTCTCAAGCGACAGCCACCACCACCTGCTCAGGAAACATGTTCGGCAGCAGGGGGAAAAAAAGCACAAATACCCCCTTTAATATAAAAAGATTAAGTGGTGCAGCTTGTGCAGGTTGAACACAGGAAGTGACTGCTTGTTTCAGAGGATGGATTTAAACCAAACAACAAACTTCTGTAATCAGTTTATTGGCAAAATGAAATAGAATGAATGAATGTTGTGAGTACACACATACTAATCCAGCTAGCTACAGTACCATAAGTCCATCTAGTTATAAACAGACGTACCCTCTCTCTCTCTTTTTTTTTATAAGGTTAATGGAATGTTTTTCATACAGACTGTACATAAACAGAAAACAGGAGAGTGGATTTGTACATTATAAAAACAACAACAACATCTGGGCTGAATGTTAAAATTGTATATAAATGAAGTTCAAATGATTTTTCTGTATAAACAAATTTCCTCCAAAATATTTCCTCTGCTCCAAAATAATCTGTTGTGTAAATTTCAACTTATCACATCCTTCAAAAGTGGTTAAAAATAAACAGTTCACTCTTCAGGTTATGGTCGGTAGAATATGGGCTATGAACTTAAAGCTTTAAAAGAAAAAAGAAAAAAGAAAAAAGAAAAAAGAAAAGTCTTATGTTTGCTTGTCAGAAGACAGTTGTAAACTGAGAGTGACACTTTCAGAAAACAATTATCATAAATGTTCCTCTTTAGTATCTCATTATTTCTATTATTTCCAGAACAAAATCCTGACAATTCAAAAATTAAGAAAACATGAAAAAGAAAACAACCAACTTTAAAAAAAAATTCAGGGAGAAACCAGCTGCTAAAGAACTGGCAGCATTTTTGTTTTTTTGGATTCAAAGTCACACAAATAATGACTAAAATTATATACAAAGTACTAAAAACATTTCACAAAAACTCAAAACGCTGGTGTATTAAAATAAAAAACAAAAAGAAACAACACACCACGAGGTGGATTTTCCAGTTGTCCAAATCAGATGTCATGCAGAATCTAAAAAAAAAACCAACTTAGCTTTGTTTCAGTCTTTACAGACAACAAACGTGATTTCTCTTCAGATTTTTTAGGGAATCAAAAACCAGGAAGCGATAATTTACAGAGAAACAGAAAATATGGAAACTAATCTGAGCCTGAGAACGTGTACGGGCAGGGCAGGAACATGTACCTCACGCTTCACTTTCTCATCATCCATCACTTCTTACTTTAAGTTCCTCTGATCCTCTCACATCTCAGCATCATTCTCTGATCCAAAGTTCACAACTAGAAAAGTCTCTAAAGTGCTCCAAAGAAACTGGACTGACAAAACAAAGATGGAAGTGCCTCAAAAGAAGAAAAATCCAACAAAATATAAAGCAAAAACACATTATTTTTACATTTGGACACAACGTTTCACCAGATATAGGCTGGAAAATTCATTATTTTTTACTCCCTCTTTCTTTCTGTGCATCTGCAGTTCAACCTTGTAACTGCCTCCATCGAGCTTTAGTACTTTGGCACTTTGGTGTAATCCTCTGTGTGGATGTTCCTGCACAGGCAGATGGACAGGATCATCCCCAGCAGCTGTAAAACAAAAGAGCAAGATGCAAAATGATCACAGAGACACTAAAGAGACACTAAACAACTGCAAACGACGCTGTCAGGGGCCCGTTCTCTGATCATCTGTCCACGCCGGGACCCACAAATTGATGGACAGATTAATAAATTAGAAAATAATAATACATTTCTGCTAAAACTGACACATTGTGAGTCGATGAGCTTCCTACGAAAAGTTAAAAAAAATATTCAGGATGTAAAAATGAAATTTAAGACTTTTCAAGTCCTGCAGATACTATGTCTGGAAGATTGTTGCAGCTCCGTGGTGCACAATAACTAATAACACTGTTTCTCCATGTGTAGTTAGCACTGTGGGAACAGTTAGCAGACCTCTACCTGATGACCTGAGAGGCTCAGAGGCTTCAAATGTAAAAGACAGTCAGATGTATTTTGATCTTCAGGCACTCATAGATTTATAGACGAGCAGCAGTGAGTTTGAACTGTCCTCCCTGACACAGTGGAGGCCGGTGCAGAGACCGGAGGAGACCGGAGCTCGAATGAGTCGTCTGCATGTTTTTTTTTCTGGCGACGGGGGAGAAGACCGTCACAGTAATCTGACCTGCTGGAAATGAAAGCAGGGATCAGTTTCTCTGAGTCCTGCCTGCACATGAATCCTCTGATCCTTGATATGTTTTTAAGATGGTAGAAGGCAGATCTGACATCGCTGTTAAAGTTTAAATGAGTCCAACATGAAACCACGATTTCACAGCTGAAAGAAACACATTTTAGAGTGGATTTTACAACTCTCATCCTGAGCCTCTGTGTAAACTGTTCTGACAATGTTTGGTTTAAAACTCAAAAACATAAATCAACAAAGTAAAGCACTTTGAGCACTGAAATTTCTCTTTAACTTTATTTTCTCCACCTCCTGATCTGTGGTTCTCTGCAGACTTTAAGTGATTAAATCAAATTCCTGAATCTTTCATGAAATTCCTCTTGAAATTTCTTGCCCAAGTTTTCACTGTCACTTGGAAACGTATCACATTACAGACGCTAAATGTGCTCTAACTATGACTTTAAAGGTCCCATATTATATAAAGGTAGATGTCCATGTCTCTTTTGATTATAAAGCAGGTCTAAGTTTTATATTAATACTGTGGGAGTATCAAAGTGCTCAGAGAAATGAAAACTGAAACTGAGCCTTAAAATGAGCCGTCGGGACTTGACTGTAACTTTGTGATGTCACAACAAAGCAGTGACTGCCCTGAGCCATGCCCCAAGCCCCGCCCACTGATTGGCTCACTGACCTGTTGCTAGAGCTCCAGAGAGAAGCCTGAGAGGAGATGTAAAACTACATTGAGATGGTTTTTGGTTCTTAAAACCACAAATATATCTTCTCATGGGTCAACACTTCAAATAAAACACTGGGGAAGTGTAAAATACGGGACCTTTTAATGTAATTTACCACAGTTACGACAGAAGCACCACGTTAATGAATGATAAAGCTGCTGTACCTTAATGAGAGCCACTCCGAGGCTGATTCCCAGCACCATCCCGATGTTGGTAAGGAGCCAGCTCTCCACGCTGGCAGCACAGCCCTGATTAAAACACAAGTAGAGCAAATGAAGGAAGAACATACAGGTGGGGGAGAGTAAACAGGTGAGAGCGACAGGAAACACTGTTTACCACATCGTAGACGGGCCAGTCGGGCGTCTGAGCCTCACAGAAGCCGCTGTCAGAGAAGTTTCCGGTGGCGAGCGAGATGTTCTGGCAGGAGCAGGGAAACAGCAGCTGAGAGCTGTTGACGATGACCATGTTACCGCTCCAGTCCATACGACCGCTCCAGCCACAGCACTCCATCTGCAGACAGTGATCATCAGCAGTGTGGTGAATGAAAAATAAACAGACCAGAATAAGATCACAAGAGCCGTCACCGGCAGCCAAGGAACATTTGCTTTTCAAGGATGTTCGATCCGACTGGAGCAGCTCTCCAGACAGAAACAAACGCGCCTCGGCAGAAGTCACGGGTTCAGTCAGAGTGTTGACGTAGGAACCCAGACAGTTCCTTTACAGTCGTATGTAAATGTTTGGGTCAAATTACACATTTTGTTGATTTTTGTAGTTAACAGAAGGAAATCATTTTAATTGTTCATGTCAAAAATCAATAATCATGTAAACTGACCCAAACTTTTGCATTCAACTGTAACTCTAACCAGATGAGTAACTTCCAGTGTGGTCTGCAAAAATGATGTCATTCTTCTCTGGTATCAAATCCTAAAAGTCTTGTTCTCTTGTACTTTTATGGTTCAGTCCTTTTCCAGTACAAAACAAATTGTTTCAAAAACTGCCTACGAGTAAATGTCTTTATCTTGAATTAAAGTCAAGCAGCGAAATATTCAAACATGTTCATTTGTTTTGGAAACAATTTTAAGTGGAGTGGGAAAAGTGGAAATTAGCTTTTAGCAGCCAATTACAGACAAAAACCACTTTGCAAAACAGATTTTACTGACAAGAAGATTTCAGTGGGAGATGTGATGTCAATGTCTGTATCTGCAGTTTGCATTTTAACAGATAAATCTGAGTCTGCGCCCGGGTCTGATCTCAGATCAGTGATTCTGACTCACATTCCTCTGGATGAAGTCCCAGGCCTGCTCTGTGGTGGAGTTGTTCCCAGGGTAGTTGTGCAGCACCTTGGTGACGATCTTGGACATCTCGTCATTTAACTGAAAGAAAACAAGTTCAGGTGTTGGTAAAACAAAATATGCGACTGCTTGAGTTAAAAATGATTAAACACATGCAAAAAAAATGTTTTACATTTGTTATATGCTGTTAATAGTTTGTTTCTGCCTGCTCCATGTCAGATTGAATGTGTGTTTTTTTAATTTTGCTTTTCTTCTTACTTTTTCATTTCTTTGTGAAGATATTGGTGCGTTGTGTGTTAGATGTTTCATGACAGAATTAAACCAAATCATTAATCACAGAGCTGCAGCTCAGGAACGAACAAAGGAAACAGGAGGAAACCAAAAAGAAATGACACTGTCTGGAGGAAAACAGGTGAAACTGCTGGAGTTGGAAAACGGTCTGATCTGTGGCAAACAAATGTGGTGCTGCTGTGTATCGTTAGCAGCAAATGTCTGTCGCATTCATTAGTATCTGGTGGTGAATAAACAGAAATAATAAATAAACAAAAACTGCAAAAACACTTATGCACAATGGAAATCAATTAAAATTTTGTTAGATAGATAGATGATACTACTTATCAGGAGGAGAGTTAGCCTAGCTTAGCATAAAGAATGGAAGCAGAGGGAAACAGCTAGCCTGGCTCTGTCCGAAGTGAACAAAATGTGCCTCTAAAAACTCACCAGTTAACACATTATATCTTGTTTGTTTAATCTGCACAAAAAACAATGTGTAAAAATGACATATTTGGACAGAGCAAGGCTAACTTGTGTCCCCTTGCTGCCAGTGTTTGTGCCAAGCTAAGCTAAGCTAAGCTAACCAGCTGCAGGCTGTAGCTTCACATTTACTGAACAGACTTAAATGTGGTAGAAGTCTCCTTTAACTTTTAACAAAAACCTCAAACTCAAAAATCTGCTGGAAAACCTGAGCTTTTAGATGTGTCACACACTCTCTCACACACACACACATACACACACACACACACACACACACACACACACACGAGTGGTTGAATTGATACAAATCACTGGAGACCAGATGCAGGAAGTCTGTGTGTAATTGTTGTTAAACCTTTCAAGCTTCAGAGCTGAATGTTGAGACATTCAAGGTCTCCAGTGAACACAGCTCTTCATATTTGAAAACCAGATAGATGTTTTTTTCCCCTCAGAGCAGGAGGAGGGAGGTTTTCCTTGAACCTGTATTTGGCAGAGAGCAGAGAGGCTGAGACATGGTCCAATAGCTTCCACCAAATGTTCAGATACAATAAACAGAGACCTGTCTGCAACTCCTGCATTCTGCAGAACTGAGGGGTTTTGTTTTTTTGTTTTTTTGTTTTTAAAATCGCATTTCATTCTGTTGAGCTGGAGCAGCGAGGACATGTGAACTCAGACTCCTGTTCGTCTGAGCCAGGATCAATGTGAGATCTTTGTGCACTTTGACCTGTTTTTCATTTTTATTTTTATTGAGCAATTCAGAAAAATGCACCAAATGCTTTTATGTTTGGAGACGTGTGTCTGTGTGTGTGTGTGTGTGTGTGTGTGTGTGTGTGTGTGTGTGTGTGTGTGTGTGTGTGTGTGTGTGTGAGTGACCACATGGTTGTTAATCTGAGTTAAATAAACTGTGTCAGTGTCCAGCTGGTGTGCGTCTCCTAGTTCACATCCCCCATAAACCAGTTTACGGTGTAACACTGAAACGACAGCGCTGGTTTTTCTTATCATAATGATGTCACAGTCCAGACGTGGAGAACACATGAAGAGCTGCATTACATTCAGTTAAAAGGTGCTGTTACTCTGTTGAAAGCTGAGGTACAAGCACTACTACAGCTGATGAGGATATAGGTGATATGACAAAACATATTTCGAATATAGTATTGCTTTTTATTTTCGCTGATTTTTTTGTTGGGTCTGTCCCAAACAAGCATGTTCCTTTATGTCTGGAGATTATGATTTATAGACCGGGGGTTCTCTGTAGTATTTATGGTATGTTGAGAGAGTGACATGAAAGTTGCAGCTCCTGCAACCTTAAAATCACAAGCAAGTAAAATTTGACTTTTAACAAAAACAGTTTGGCACAACAAAAAAAAAGTGCATCAACAAGTTCGTCTGCTTCTGCGACTAGTTTCAGGTTACATCCGTGTTTATCCAGAATCATACAAAATATTAACCATGTGTGTGAATGTTTTGTCAGAATTGCTATGTGGAGTCTAAAAAGTGTTTTGTGTGGTCACACCGACCTTGACCTTTGACCACCAAAATCCAATCAGATCATCCTTGAGTCCCAGTTAATGTTTGTGCCAAATGTGAACAAATTTCCTCAAGGTGTTACCGAGATATCACGCTCAAGAGAATGGGACGGACGGACAGACGGACAACCCCGAAAACATAATGCTTCCGAGAGTTTTCTGGATGGGCGGGGCGTGTGTGCTGGCTGTGAGAGGGAGACGTGCACAGATGAGAACAAGCTAATTTCATGCTGATGGTTTAAATAAATAAATAAATAAAATTTCATTTGATGTTTTTCACAGTCTTGTTGGTTTTTATTTCCTGGTTCTTTGTCTCCTCCAGCTCGCTCAGCCTCCATGTTTGTTTGAGTTTACTGGCAACTTCAGAGCCGGGTCAGTTATATTGGAGCTTTTAGAAAAATCAATTGTAATTAAAAAAACTTTGATGCTGATGCGAAAACTATTTTCAAGTCAGAAACTGGTAATTACAACAACTTTCACATGGCGTGAAGGAGGCATGAGGTCTTATGTGCAGGAAACACAGATGTTTCACATTGGGGTTAATTACTGGAAAGAACATACCAACATCAACAGGAAGTGTTCTGCCTTTCTGTGTGAGACGCTCGCAGAAGCTCCTCTCTGCATTAAAGTACTGGACACAGTTTAAACTACATTATCTTAACAGTTTAACCCGTCACACTGTTTTAATGAGACTCACGCACAGAACAAATCCCCGTCTCTTTAATGGGAGAAGAGACTGCAAAGGTTTCTCTGATAGTTCCCTGTCTTATTTATCCGTTATGATGCTTTTGAAAACTACTCCGAAGTCAGTAAAGTTATCAGCACGGTTCAACTGGACTGAAACCTTCGGTAAATGTTTGTTTCACTGTAGTATTAAATGTTAAATTCTATAGTATTAAATGCTCAGAAAAATAAAGTTCATGGTCTTTTCAAAAGCTGTTTTTCTTGAGAGGCCACAGGGATGAAAATGCTGTCATGTCATTTATATGTCAAATATATTTTATATTTTAAGCTGTATTTTAATATGTGGTGTGTATTAATGGGACTTCCTGGTAAAATGAAGGAAATAATAAAGTAATTTTCATTGTGTGTGTGTGTGTGTATTTATTTATTATGTGTGTATTTATTTATTTATTATCAGTTCTGTAATGAACTATTATATCAGACACCTTCAGAATTCAAATAAAATGTTTTCTTCCTAGATGAACATAAACGCTACATGAAAATGATCAATAAATCTCGAATGTAACTATTGGCGTCAAATACTCCTTTGTTTTCAAACTGTCCTGCTCATTCAGAAAAAAAAAAAAAAATGTGTCATACATCCATGTCTGAAGGCAGCAGGAGACTGTAGTGAGATAAATAGAAATGCAGTTTTTAGCCTAGGACTGAAACAAACCGAGAAAATAAAGTAAAATAGATGCAAACAATTTGGTTTAAGGTTTAGAAAGCCACAATACTTGACCCAGAATGCATAAAATATACATTTAAAGATAATAAAAACACTGAAAAAAGAAGATTTTTCTGAGTAATTCACACTTTCTGTGGGAAAGGCCTCAGACTAAACACCAGGGGGCGCTGTGACACCAAACGCCGTCAGCCTGGTGTCACATGGAGCACATCACCTCCTCAGACAGTGTGTTCTCAGTTACAGTGGTTTACTTGTTGTGAAGGGTAGAATTAGGTTCTATTCATAGCGTTTGTTGTTCTTGTATCACAGCCAGAGAACATTGTTGTGTTATTGATCACATGTTACGACACGTCAACCAATCAGAAGATGACGGTGCATCATTGACAGGTGTGCTGCCAACCTCCGCATTCCAGTTGTTGAAGTCACTTCATGGAGCGTCTGACTGAGACTAACAAGAGGGGAAACTCCCATGATGCTCATGTGTGCACATTGTTACAGAGATGTGATGGGGGACTGATGAAGAGGAAGTGATGTCACTCACCACATCCTTCTGGAAGTAGATGAGGGCTCCAGCTGCTATCTGAGCGATGAGGATCAGCAGGAGGCAGGTGAAGTACTGAGGAGGAACAAACAGGTGATAAACATGAAAAAAAACATCTGGAGACGATTAAAACACGTCGGATCAGTGACGGCGCTGCTGTGATCGGCCCGTCGCACCAGCTCCACTGTTTCCACAATCTATTAAAAACAAATCAGTGATCCACACTGTTGCCCTGGGTGACGCGTTCCTTCATCACCATGAACATGTAACTGGCTCATGTGTACATTCAGTGTAGCCCAACCAAGCCCCCTACAATTTACAGATGTCCCCTAAACGCCTTACATGCAGGCAATGGGTCGACGCTACAGCTACACACATCATCAGGGGCCCCGCTCGGGGGAGGGGGGGGGGGTTGGGGCAACAGTGCACTGCATACGGTCTTTATGGGGATTTATAGTTGTCATTGCAAAATGTCCCAATATGAGGGACCATTCGTGCCCCTTTTCCCCTTGGGCGCCCCAGACATTTTCCTGGTTTGCCTCTCCTGACGTTGCGCCTCTGTTTATATAATTACACAAAATCTATTAAATTACAGTTAATACCCGACAGGAAAAGCCCCCGAACCTTGTATTTCTACTCTGTGTGTATACAGTTTGAGTTCAAAGCCTCTTATCATAATCCATCCTGTTACTTCTCATTATTCATTCTGTACATTTTTGTTCCCAACAATATTATGATGTTAAGTATATGAGATTTGAGGATACTGGCACTTGTGTTATTAACACTTCTAATCTAACTCCTGTTTTGTTTTGTTTCTGAACTGGAGCAGCTGTGTTATTTACAGGTTCTGCTTCTGCTTTATCAACTCAGAAGAGATCCTGGTGTCACAGCATCTTCATTACTACTCAACACTTCACAGAAACCCACCGTCATAAACACGCTGCTGTTTATTTTGGATCAGTCCTACATTACACACACACACAAATGTGTGTGTGTGTAATGCCCCAAATACTCAATAGAGCACCAAATCTGGGTTAGTCCGCCTCTAAAAGTAGTGCCCAAGATATGCACAATTTCCTCCTGTTTGTTTGATAAAAAATACAGTGAGCAGCTGTAGTAATAAATTAAATAGCCCTTTTAAAAAAAATGTATTTAAATTATAAATGATAAATTATGTATTTATGAGCAATTTTCAAAGTTTTGCATCTTCAGTAAGAGCCAATGGGCGCTGAGCTGAGACACAGACAGAGTAGAGAAGAGTTAAGAGACAGACTAACACATTGTTGGTTATGTTTTATTCATATACATATATAGAATAAAACCTTAGATGTTTCAGTATGAGTTTTGGTGTGATCAAAGCCAAGGTTGGGGCTTGAAGGGGATCGAAGCTTCTGCCCCTGAATACTGATCCATAACAACAACAACACCACGTCTACTGATCTCCCACTGACAGTCGACGAGACACAGCATGAAAAACAAACTGTGCTTCAGGTCAACACTGAAAACTATCTGCTGCTTTGTTGGAAAGCTTCTGCATATATATATATATATATATATATATATACACACACACTGTAGACATGTAGGTTAATACTATGGCACATCTGGAGAGTGCATTCAGTGGTAGAGGACAAGCTCTTCATCCTTTCTAAAACATGAAGAGTATTGCAGCACAGGCAGAAACTAGAACTAGAAGCAGATTAATATTACGAGTCGTATCTTTGACATTTTTATCCTTTGTTTTCAGGCTGCGTCGTCGACTGATGCCAACATCAGTGATTGAACGCTCTGACCTCTCAGACTGATGAAAACCTTTTAAATCCCACCGGATAAGTTCAACGTTTCATGTTATGAAGTTAAACAGAGAGCTGTCCTTTAGGACAAACTTATTATATTTCCACAGTTAATCCTCCAGCTGTACCACACCTGTGTTATTCATCATCATCATCATGTCGACATGATCTTACCATACAAACACACAGCACCGTCACTCACCAGGCCAAGCAGACAGCGGATCTCATAAATGGCCCCCAAGCAGCCGAGGAAGCCCATGAGCATGGAGAAAGCCCCGACTCCAATCAGGATGTAGCAGGCCACCTTCACAGGTGTGGAGTTATCTGTGGAGAAACAACAGAGCACAGGAACCACCTGCTGTTAGAACGTAAACATCCTTCCACAGACAAACTCGGCCTGGGCTGACAGTCAATAATATTGAATATCGCAATATTTCCCGCCATATGTGATATGTTCTTAATAAAGATGGCTGCCCTGCAGCAAAGTCCGACCCTCATTTTACTGCTTTGCTTACTGTACATTATCCATCTGTACCTTGGCATGTGATAAGTAAAACTTTGGTTTGGGCAGGACTGTATCGAGATATCTAATTTTGGATATTGCCCAGGCCTAATACAGATAATACTGCATTTAAAACCATATACCACAATCCATATGTATATATGTGGAGTATAGGTTTTTACAAAACGAAATGCTGAAATGTCAACTTAAACTTTATTATCATCCCAAAGGAAGTTTGGTTTTCAGGCATTAGGAACATAAATGTAACCATGACAACAAACAACAATCCATAGCCCAAAAAACACAAAATATTATGAATATATAAAATTTACTGCTGAGAGAAGATAAGACATGTAGGAAAATAAAAAAATAAATAGACAATTCTACCATCCTGGATGAAAATGAAGGATCGTGTTAATTGCAGATATAGAAGCGACTCTGTCGGACTCTGCTGTCTGTGGCTTTTACTATTATTTTTTTGGCTTTAGCTAAAAACATATCAAGTCAACAGTGATTTCTAACATTATCTTAGACAGAAAGACAGAGTTCTGAGCAGCTCCTGTGGACTTGGCCCAGTGTGAGGAGACAAAGGAAGCAGTTTTGCGTAATGAGTGCTTCTGTGCGCCACATCACACTTTGCAAAATCATCCAACATCCTCCAAAAATGAGGAACCTCCTGTACATCTCACCTCATCTGAGCCCCGAGTGCGTTCGTGAGCGTCAGGGCTCACCACAGAGACAAAAAAACTCTGTGCTTCACCCTGACACGTCAAAACTAAACACACATCTTCGTCAGTGACCTTTTTACCAAATTACATGTAATTCCAGAGAAACACCAAAAGTAAGATTAACTGCAAAATATATCTGAGGTTTAAAACAGTGTCACTACAACTGCAGTGAAACAACACAAAAGTAAGAAGGTCTGAAACATTCATTTCACATTATATTGTCACAATGACGTGAAAAACAAGGAGAGAGACTACTCGTGTTTGACCAACATGGACGTCTGAGTTTATCCAGTAAGTTTTGACAGTTTCTGATCTTCTAAACCTCATGAGGAACAGTGTTAAACTCAGCACACTTCACAGCAGTGTAGAGACCTGAACTCTGAAAACTCATGGAAACAGAAACCAGACGAGCATGTGTGATCATCCAAAATGAATTAAATTAGAAACAAATGTGTAGCTGCGGTGCTCTACTTATGGTGAGTGATCATGAGTCTCATGTTGTGCAGGAAGACAAAGTAAATCTTTCACTAATATTCAAATCCGGACTGAGATTTGCAGAACTCTTCATGAGCGTGAAGAAGAAACGTGGAGCCGATTCTCAGAATCCTTCTTTTGTTCTGGTGAAATTGTTAAACCTCAAAACAGAGAAACATTTTCTACACGTCAGCACGTTGAAGTCTGCCAGTGCAGACGTTTTAAAGACCGAAGGCCCCTCGCCGAGCCCTCGAGGCCTCGAGGAAACATGGGATACCCCGGGGGGATCGGTGAACCAGGGCACGCAGCTCCAAACCAAGACAAAGGGAAACGAGGGGAGTTTATGATGGAAAATTAGGCTGAGGAGGGGGAGGGGTGGTGGTGCAGGAAATGAATGCCTGCATGTGTGTGTTCGTGTGCGTTAACACACACGAACACATGTGCAGCGTCAACCTGCAGGGCAACCAGAGACGAGCCGTGCAGCCCCCTGCGTTGTATCACCAGCGGACAAATGTTTGTCTGAACGCAGCTTTAATACACAGAAGAAGAAGAAGAAGAAGAAGAAGAAGAAGAAGAAGAAGAAGACGCCTGTGAAGCTCAGGGTGTTCAGCAAATTCAAGTTTAGATTTCTGAAGAGCTTTTTAATAAAGACCATCTATGGACAACTGAACAGGCGTACAGGGCCCAGGCCCAGGGGCCACAGAGAGACACAAGGTGACTACAAAGAGATGCAAGTCCACAGAGCACAACACACACACACACACAAGTTTCCATTGTTCCTCCTCTTCGGTATGAACATGTCGTCACATGTTAACACCAGGTGTAAGCTGGGCCTGAAATGTGATCAGTTCCTGTTTTGTCAAAACTAAACTCAAACCCAGCAGGTTGATTAACAAGCTTCACTGCAGTTTTCCCTTCGCTGTGGAGAGCTTTAATTATTATTATTATTATTATTATTATTATTATAGGACAGCTTTGTTGTGCACTTCATTGATCACCTTTTTACGGTTTCAAGTAAACTCGATCGCATGGCCACAGAGAACGCTACTGACGCCATTGACGCTGCGTTCCCATTTCTCGGCCGTTAACTCGTTGTGACTCTGTACAATCAGGTTGGAGCAGCACCAGGCTGATTTCATCGCTCACATGCTGCACCAGTCAGCTCATTGATTCACCCTCAAAAACCGCTGTGATCATCTGTGAGCCCATAACGGGCCACTGCCTCGGTTTATGAAATGTTCCACTGAGCGTCAATACGTGTCATTTATGAGCAGAAACAAAGCTAAACTGTCCGCCGAGCTTTAACCCTCCGCTCCGTGCGGTTTGAGTTGTATGACTGCATCCCCGACCTCCATGAAATCCCCAGACTCACACTATGTGTCCTCCCTCCGCTCCACTCGGACAGACCGCTGATGTGATGTGGTCTGTGTGTGTGTGTGTGTGTGTGTGTGTGTGTGTGTGTGTGTGTGTGTGTGATGATGAGTAAGGCGGTGAGCGCACTGGGCTGATGTGATGCATGCTGATGCTGGACGGAGCAGAAAGAGCCCAGTGTCTGAGGGGAGGACACCTGCAGAGGACGACGGACAAATGTCCTCAGTGACGCTGTTCAGAGTGAGCAAGCGAGCAAACACACACACACACACACACACACACACTCACACACACACTGTCTCTCCATTACACTTGCTCAATGTCTGTCTCTATATTTCAGCATCAACCCGTCTTCAGTCGTCTCTGTGTCTCGCTGACACTGCTCGTCTCTTTCTCTCCGTCCCTTCATTCTTTCTCTCTCTCGCTCTGATAAACTCGTACTGTTCCCAGCTCAGACTCAGAGGATTCTCAAAGGAGTGAATCTTTTATTTATTTTAAAAAATTTAAAAATGTAAAAAATTTAAAAAAAAAACACACACACTTTTACTTTTTGTTCACTGAGGTGGAGTCAAGGGTCAAGGAATCTATTGATGTAATGTAAAAGTTGATCTGTTCATTTCTATGTAAAATGTCTTTTGAAATTTCTTTGTATTTAGAATTTTTTTTTTGCCTCTCTCATTTGATTCTAATACATTTCATTGTGAAGACAAAGTCTGAAATGTTCACAATGCCCCGTGTGATTTCTGTGGCCTTCCCTCCGTCCACACACCTGGAACTCACATTTGTGTCTCGTCTTGTTCTTGTATTTTATTTCAACACCCTGATGAAACTGAAACACGTTGGTGTCAGTCATGTAACAGAACAGGCTTTTTATCATTAGAGCTCAGAGTTACGGGAGAAGTTTAACATTTTGAAATAAAATTATTAGCTTTCTTTCCCAGAGGATCAGAGCTGGAGTCTGGGTTAGCCTAGCTTAGCATAAAGACTGGCGTTAGGAGGAAACAGCTGGCTTGGTTTTAGTTGAAAAATACACCTACTAAGACCTAAAAAGCTCAATAACTAACCCTGTATCCTGTTTGTTTACTTAGAAATGTAAAAAAAAACAACAATTCGTGGTGTTACAGACCCAAATTATTTCTTAGCAAACTCTGTTCTCACATGATGCATCTAGACAGGTTTCCTGTTAAACTGTAGAGGAGGTGCACGCAGCAGTTTCTACAATGTTAAAATAGGTTACATACAGACTATGGATTTTTACTGTCTTGAAAAGTAGCAGCTCGTTCTTGGAAACCTGTAAAGTTACTGCTTAGAGGTGAATTTGAGGTAATTTATCCATCAGCCCTGCGAGCTGATATGACATACTCCTGAGAATATGTCTCTTTCTCTCTTTCTTGAGATAATGATGATGATGATGAACAACATTTTCCACTCATTACTTTTGCTTTTTGTGCAATTTTAGGCACAAAAAAAAAAAAAAAAAAAAAAAGCTTCTTATGTTGATCTCTCTGTCGTTTCGGGTCGTTTTCTGCCTCCTGCCCGCGAGAACATCTCGCTGATGACGTCGCTCAGAAACCCGTCTCCACAGTTTACAATGAGAACATTTACCTTTGCTGTTCTTAGTAATTATCAAAACTATGGGTCTCTGATTTCAGAAAGAAGTAGACATAAACAGACTTCTCATTTCCAGCCCACGGTCATCAACTGAGCCAATTAACACTGAGTTGGTTGAAAACTCGTCCACAGCTGACACATTAAATCTTCATGGATATAAAGAGGCAGCATTACTCTTATAGCATAAAGCCAGTTAAGCCTTGTATTACAGTATTATAAATAAATATGTCATCAAAATGTGATTTTGTTGTAACATCACACTGTTCGGATGCTTATTATGGAAAAATATAACTGAATAAGCAGCACAGTGTTTAGCTTTGTGCTTTATTGCTCATATTTTCAAACAATGCGTCACTTTAGCGAGAGAAGAGACTTTGAGGATCAGGACTAACAACCATATCTCAAACAGTGACTTTGGCTTGTTTGAGTTTCTGCAGATTTAACTAAGACAGTGGATGTTTCAGTCCTGAACAGGTCATTGTTTTGTAACCAGATAATGCAGTTAAAGCAAGTATGAGAGGCAGTATGCTAGTCAACCAGCCATGCTAACAGCTGCAGCTCACATTACAGCAGATAAACACTTCTGCTCTCATGTGTTTGGTTTTTGGGGTAAAAAAGAAAAAAAAAAAAAGAAGATCTGAGTCCTGCATCTGTTTCCTCCTCCCTCCAGTCCTTTACTCACAAACATGAGTGGCATCAGTTTCTCTGTGCAGCAAAGTGAATAAGCATCTTTCCAAAAACCTGTAAACTACTGATTTAATCTTAGAAGCAGCAAGTTGATGAGCCAAAGTTGTTTGACCACCACTGAGCAAAGTCAGACGACGCCACGATGAGAAAGATATGTAAAGGAAAGAGAGGCTGAAACAGAAAGAGAGAGGGAGATCTGTTGTGTGGCTGCGTGGTTTAGAGGAATTTCTTTTTTTAAACACAGTCCAGAACCAGACAGACAAAAAAAAAAAAAAAAAACTGGAGGAAATCTGTTGGACACTTGTGTTTAACTGAATGGTCTCATATGGTGGACAAACACAGTGAAGACACGTCACACCTCCGCAGGCCTCAGGCCTCACTCATCACGGTCACAACTGATCAACAGAGCGAAGGAACGTCTGGTGTCGGACTCGTTAATCAGCTCTGGACACCGAACAACCCAATCCAACAGCTAATACTGATGGAATGAGGGACTGTGTGGAAACTATCGGGGGGAGGGAGGGGTTCATTTTTAAACCAAAGCTCCTCCCCAGCTTTAGTAAAACTTCCAACAAAGTTGGAAAGTTTTTCATATATAGGATAAAAGAAAAAGACAAAAGCATAAACAAAATACAAAAAAGAGAAAACTTCTCATTCAGCCGTATCAGCTGGAAAAATATAATCTAAATTCTTATTGTTTTTTGACCTTTAGGAAATTCCTCAGGATTCACTAAAACATGTTGCTTTTGAAACACATTTGCTTGAGCCAGTTGAAGGCACGGTGCACACGCACGTGTGTGTGTGTGTGTGTGCACGTGTTCAGGATGGTACCACCTCCACCTCAGGAAAAACCTGCACGAGGCCGACATGAACGCAGCGCTTCAGTTCAGACCTTCGCAGTCTGATATGAAAACACAGAGTGCAGCGGCTGCAGTTGTAGCAGAAGTTCTGCAGCAAAGAGACATTAAACATGAGCCTTCCTTCAAATGTTACTGCACTGTTACTTTTTATAGCAAACAACTGTGGCATTGATTTAAAACAAACAACTGTGGCAGAACTGGATTAACTGGTTGGGACCATAGACTGTGAGGCAGGCGAACAACTGAGGAGGAAGGTGTCGGCTGATGATGATGAAATCTTTGACTCCTCAACAACCTTGAGCTGCTCTAAGCGACTGACTGAGACTCTGAGAGTGAAGCTTTAAGGCACGACAGGCTATAAAAAGATATCAAAGAGCTTCCATCTTGAAATTTCCACTGTCTGAAATGTCATAAAGTCAATGAAGGGAAACTGTGGCAGTTAAGACAAGATCTGGAAGACCGAGAAAACTTTCAGATCAAACTCTTTGGACACAATCGCCAGAGAAGGAGCAGCAACTGACGAAAAGACGACATCTGCCAGCTGTTAACACGAGGGTGGAAATATTCTGCAGGCAGACGTCCTGCACTCAGTTAAAACTGAAAGTGAAAAGAGGCTGGCTTCTACAACAGGACGGTGATCCAGATCAGACCTCAACATCCGTCACGAACCACGTCAAGAGCCTCAAGCTGAAGCTTTTGGATCTCAAACCTGCTGTGTGAGCAGGACAGCCTGAAATATCTCTGAGCCTGAAGTTTTTCTGCAGGAAGAGGCTGAAAACTCAGGAGCAGAAAGAGTCAGAGCTGCTGCACAAAGGAGGGGGGTCACTACATGTACTGCCTTTTTATTTTATTTGTATAGCACATTATCATACACAGATATTTCAATGTGCTTAAGAGAAATAAAAGAAGCATAAACATAGAAGTAAAAAGCATAATAAGAAAACAGTATAAAACAGATTATAAAATAGATAATATCTCATCAAAGTGCAAGATTAAACTACCTCTTAGGGTCAAATAGATGGAATGGATTGGATTTGTTAAATATATTTAGGGGTCTAAACCATTTAGTGACTCATAGACAATAAGTAAAACTCAACTGAATTGAATTCAACTCTGTATCTGACAGGAAATCAGTGTAAAGACCTGAGAACGGGAGTAACACGCTCTCTTTGCCTAGCCTTAGTCAGAACTCATGATTACATTGAGATTCTCAACATGAGTTGAAGTCATGTGGGCCGACAAATCCTTCACAAAACAGAACGATTTTGGAGAAAAGATGTAAATAAAAAAAAAAAAAATATATATATATTTTTTCAGATGTCTTAAAACAAATGAATCTTTCAAAAGTATTTGCAAGTACTGGCATTATTCGGCCTCCGTGTCGTGATGTGGTCGGATGTGGGCCGCCAACATTTTTGAGATTTTCAAGCGGCCCTGAGTTGGAGAAGGGTGGGAACCTCTGCTCTAGACTCCAGGTGGCCACTAAGGTCCAGGTCCAGACCCAAACGTGAGAATGATTACATACTGACCGGAGCGTTTTTATTTTGTCAGACATAATAAACAGAGAAATAAGTGGGGGAAGTGAGACAGAGAAGGGAAAAGAAGTTCAGTTATTAAGATGTGTTGAGATTGTTTATTATAAAAATAGCTGAGACCGTTCCGATGTGAACTGGAGTGAACGAAAAAGAAGAAAAAGGGAAAGCCGAGCTACACTTTTAGTGAAATTAAGCGCACAAAACTCCCCGTTATGTAGTTATTACAAGTCTTATTTTCCTTGAAATGAGAAAAGGACATTTAATTATTAGTTCTCGTTATTTATAACCCCTTCAGTTTGAATTGAATACACCAGGTCTGTAGTTTATCATGTTTCAACTGTGTGTGCCGCAACCCCCCCCCGTCTCTCTCTCTCACACACACACACACGCGCACACACACGCACACACACACACGTGGCCTGCAGCCAGAACTTGGCCTGTTTTCAGCCCGTTAATCATTGCTCCATTTGTATTGGCCTACATCAGCTCTACAAGTGGATTAGTGTAAAGAGTCCACTGGAAAGAAAAAAAAAAAAAAATGTATTGGCCACTTATTTTGTTTATGCTTTAATAGTCATGGCAGTAAAATGGAGCCAGAGAGCAGCTCTGGAGGGTTTTATCTAATCTTCAGTTCAAACAACAGACGCAGACGCTGACTCCGTTCGACTGCAGCACAACTCAAAACACACGAGGAAAGAAAAACAGGTTGTATGAGGAAGAAAACTACTGATGATAAATCTGAAGGAAAATGAACCTGGGAGCCAGTTTTGTGTTTTACAGTCGAAACACAGACACAGATTCCGTCTGTTCATTCCTCAGTTTCACTCGAAGGAAAATGACATTAAATTTAAAACAGGCACTTACTGAGGACGACGATGAAGCTCTGATTGTCCAGGAGGAGCCACAGTCCAAAACCCATGATGACGGCCCCGAACAGCTGGAGAGCGCACGCACACACACGCACACACACGCACGCACACACACACACACACACACACACACACACACACACAGGTCAGAGCACATTAACACACTGTAAATGATTAAGTTTATTTGTATGATTCATGCAGCTCGGTTTCGTTTTTGTGTACAGCTGCAACCACAGACTGTAAATAAAGATGGACGTAGCCTCCGTCAGAGCGAGCTGCCCCGCCGTCGCCATCTTGGCAGCGCTTGACTCCACCTAACTCTTAGCTAATCCAAAATTGGGCAAAGATGAGGGGCATGTGTGGAGCTGAGACTTGTGCATGGTGCATGTTGGTTTGTGGCAATCATATTAATCATATTACCGATTCATTTTTTTGTCAGTTGACTGACTGATTAATTGACTAATCGATGAAACTGTAGTTTTACACTTGTATCTTTTACAGGTAAGTTTTATTGTTTATTCAAAACTGATCATCCTTTGATCTCTTTTGTCATTTTATGCAGGTGAGGTTTGTGCTGCTCTTTAGCCCTTCATCTAACAGAGAACTGTGTTCATATCTTGCGAGGATAAGTTTTCATTAAGGAAGAGTCCTGCCAATGAACCCCCATAACTCAACACATTTCCTATAGCTGCTGCACAAGGAAAGTCTCCAGCTGGTTCTTCCGGTGGATAACTTGCCCTGTGAAGCAGCAGCAGCGGGACATGTTTGTTTCAGCAGTAAATGAACTCAGATATAACTGATAGTGACGAGTGAACAGTAAAACATAGCTGATATCTGAAAGTACCAGCAGACAGGAAGGAGTGAAACCACAGAGACTCAGTCAGAAGCTGAAACTTTAACAGGCTTTCTCTCCAAGAAGCAGCACAGACTCAGGTGTGTTCAACCAATTATCACCATTTTTGTCAAAAATAGACTCAAGTGACACTTAAAAAAAAAAAAAAAAAAAAAAAATCCAGAGTAGTGATTTCCTCTTTCAATTCAAATAAAGATGCGAGTCTCTTCAGTCACATTCCCATCAACCTCGGCTAATTAGCAAACGTTAGCATGCTAACATGGTAAAAGTAAGGTGAACATTAAAACTGCATGTTAGCATCGTTACTGTGCTTTCAAGGCTTCACCCTTTAAGGAGCCGAGTCACATTTAAGTCCAGTCTCACAGCGAGGACTTAAATGTCCTGAAAAAAGTCAAATGTAAAACAATATTGAGATCAATCTGTTAAAAACGTCCCATATTTTACACTTTCCTAGTGTTTCCTTTGAAGTGTTGATGGATAAAAAGATAGATTTGTGGTTTTAAGAACCAAAAACCAACTCCGTGTGGTTTTACATCTTGCAAGGTCGGACGGTGATAAATTCACCCTCATCTACAAAACCAAAGACCCTAAACTGACCCACGACAGAAGTGAGGAGAATCTAAACGTCCTCATTGTGGAGGATTTCTCCCACACTGTTTCCTCTTCAGTGTGTGTGTGTGTGTGTGTGAGAGAGAGATTGTTAAGAAGCTCTTAACCTCAGATCACAGATTTCATTTCCACAGCAGGGAGAGGAAACGAGAAAGTGAGTATTGCCTTGGTAACTAGGCCACAAATGCTTCATCTGCAGAGTAATTAAGACTCAGAAACAGAACGTGAATGAACAGTCGACAGCTTGATGTCGACAGCGACGAAAATACAACTTTACACACTTGATCCCTGAAATCTAATTCGCTCTGTGTTCCTGTTTCCACTCATGATTTCTTCTGGTTGAATGAACTGAATTATGTTTGGGTGTCGACTTTGTTTCAAACTTTCGGGGAGTGATTTATTATTTCCCAGGATAAATTTTGACCACCAGTCAAATAAGACCAGACAGCTGCTGATACAACGCAAATGTGTCAGTGTCTTTACCTGTTTAAGCTGCTGCCGTCAACAGGTCCAAGGCCGAGCAGCATATCATTAATTAACTATGATGCTGATAACTAACTGGATGACGTTTAAGTGAAGTGAAGTGAAGTAAAACCAGATCTTCAGGCTTCTGATATAATAAAACCCTTCATTTAAACTCCCGCTGACCTTTGTCTCTACACTGATAACTACAGGTCCAGAGCAGTGACTCCCCAGTCTGTGTATTTCACTTCCTGTATTTAGATCAGACCTGTTCTTGTTTTCCCATAAGCCCTTGCGTGACCTTTGCAGGCTAATGACATGCTCATGTTAAGTTTATTTGCACTAGTAATGTCATTCTCCCATGTTATTGCCATTCTCATAATATTACAGGTTTTGTTTTGCACCGTTGCTGATTGTTTTTTCTGGGTTTTCTGCACTGATTGTCATTGTTGCTCTTATTGTTTTTCTTAATTTGTACAGTTTGTCTTCCACTGGTTGTGGGCACTTCATGTGTTTTTAATGTCTACTCTACGTGCCCTTTAAACTGGCCACTGGGGACAAATAAAGTTCCTTGAATTGAAAAGTTACGATGACGTGATTACCCACGCTGCCATGTTTGGAGTTTATTTTCTGTGCTCCGGGAACATGTTTGAGTTTTTCAGATGACGAAAAAAAAAGAAGAAGCTGAATGAGAGTTACAGAAGCTGGTGGAGCAGAGGCCCCGTTTACCATCCCCATCTAAATGAATGGAGTGAACCACATGCTGAGCAAGGTTACAGCATGAATCTATATTCATTCATGTTCTTATAAATGTCAGTGTGATTGTACATTTGGCCAGAGAAAATGTGAACAGGAGATGCACTTAGAGCAGCTCTTTGACAACACTGGTAAAATACTCACAAAGAAGATGAGGTTGAGGAGGAACAGGAAGTACTTGGTCGCTGTCATGCAGCCTTTCCCCATGGTGCCTTATCTGTAAACATGAAACACGACAGTTACAACACAGATCAACACAAACAGCCGCAGCAGCTCACAGTTGAAGTTGTTCTCCATCACAGTGGTTTAATGTAACGTAAGTAAAGCGTGGACCCAGATTTGCTTTGGGGATGAGCTTGACGTCAACAAGTGGTGACAGATGCTGGAAGAACCAAAGACTTGTGTTGCTAAGCTGGTCTGGATGATCATGATCTGGACTGGGGGGGGGGTTCAAATCTCCAGGATTACACCCGTAAAAACCAGTACAGTGATGGGAGGAGGGGCCGGAGTCATACAGTCTGTGCCCTGCTCTCTCACACGCTCCAACCCGCTCAGACCTGCACCCACACAGGGAATCAATACACCAACATCACTGTGATCAGAAGAATTTATGGGGCAGATAAGAACTAACTGCATATTTATGTGGTGATTTTAAATATTTGCAGATTAGACGCTAATTATCTGCTCTGCTCTCACCTCAGTATAAAAAAAAAGAAAAACAAAAGAAAAGAAAAAAAGACGATGTGCACAGATTTTAATGAAATGCCTGGGGACAGATCTCAGGACTCTTTAGAAAACAAAAGGTTTGCACGGTGTCGTTTTCCTTTTTCTACTTATTTGCTTCCATGTTTATTTTTCTTACATTTCCCCTTTTATGCCCGTGTCTTATCAGTGTTGTTAATCTGTGCAGATATATTGTTATCCATGTATAAATCAGCTGATAAATGACGAGATACTTAGCTGCCGAAAAATATGGTTTAAAACAGTTTCACTGTTCTACAGTTTGAGAGAGTAAAATGTTCTGCCCTGTTCACGTCTTGGTCACAAAAGCTTTTAAAAAAAATGAAGGGAACCTTAAAAAAAATGTTTATTTATGTTACGGGTTGTGTAGAGAAAATGAATACCTGCCGAAATTAGATTTTCGGTATGGCCTCAACAACTCTGTGTCCCTGTCTCTCTCATTTCTACATGTTTGTTGAAATATTTTCAGAATTTCCATCAACACATTTGTTAAAAAAAGCATTTCACCTTAAATTCACATAAACAGAATCACTATGTGAAAAATTCATATAAAATCACATCAGAAATGAACTTATATAAAACAACTTGTTTTCTTGAGTTTATTATCAAAATAAAGTCAGAATCATTCAACTGAATTTAGTTAAATGGCAAAGAAAATCAATTAACGATAAATGATTTATAATGTGGTCTCTCAAACTGCATTTACAGTATTAATCTTTCCATGATTCTGACGTCACCTGGTCTCTCATGGTGCGTTTACTGACCATCACAACTGATGCAGGGAATCTAAGATCAGTCTTAATATGTCCAAGATTTTTAACTGTCTGTTTGAATGTGTAATCAATCAACAGTGACCAACAATAATTGGATTACTATCCGTGAATGCAGATATCTTTGAACTCGTTCATAGAAAAGATGCTGAGTGGAAATCATCACATCCCACGCAGAAATTGTACAAAAATCGCTTTCACCACGTGGAAAATGTCGACAACCTTTCTGCTCCCGTGCGGTGGCTCATATTTACGGAAACTCCAGCCCGACATGAACGCAGCATCCCTCTCTCTGTTTTTTCCACCTCCCTGCAGCCATCCCTCCGTTCTGTAACGGCCTCTTACTGTCCAATAATTCTATGAGAATCTGGGTGAAATATGGCGCCCTGGCTCGATATTTCCTCCTGGCAGCGAGGCCCTGCAGCGTGAGCACAGTGCCCGTGTGTCCGACCCACATTCCCATCACTGTAAATGGGTTACTGTTACAACACTGCCTGTGCCAGTTTAGAGGGTGATGGGGGGGGGTGGGCACCTGCAGGGATGACAGAGGGAAGAGAATATGCAATGGGAAAGACATCTTGCAAACGGTCGCAGAGAAGCCAGATGGAAGGTATTAGAGTCTGTAAACAGAGCAGACTGGAGTCTTAACAAAGACCAGGTCTCTGATACTGAAGAGAAACCCCGTTACAAAACTGAACCCCAAATTACACTCAATTTTTTATTAAACCTCAAATACAGTAAATAACTGGGTAAAGACGCCACTATAGTTGAAGCGGCGAAGCAAAACAATGTGGTCATCGCTCAATCGAAACCTCTCACCTCATTGGTTCCTGGTGAACATCTTTAAAAATGGGTCAAAAACACATGAGCTGTGTCCCAATTCAGGGTCCATGAAGGGCCACACCTTTGTAGACCATGAGATGGTCTGGCTTACGGAGGATTTTTGCTTTGTGTCACCAGCTGTGCCCGCCCTTACCATCGCAGCTCCCGTTGCCCAGCAACCTTGACAACAACTTTTTTTTTCCCCACAAAACCTGAGGTTTTATGGCCACTTGGTTTTAACAGTTGTACCGGTGGCTGTTGAACTGAGCTGAAACCCATTTGAAAGTGCAATCCTCAGGCTATCTGTCGGCGTTGTTTGCTGCCATAATTAGCGGCGACCCAGGACGCGGTCTGTGAAGGCGTGGCCCTTCGTAGCCGCCTTAGACCGTGAAGGCCGAACCGAAATGAGACGATCTGGCCTACGGAGGATTTCCGCTTTGTGTCACCGGCTGTGCTCTTAACTAAGTGCGGCTCCTTGGGATAAGTTGGGCCACGCAGGATCCACCTGTTGGATCCGTTGTGGCCCACGAAGCTGTAGTTTCATTTTTTAAAAAGTTCAGTTGTGTCATTAAAACAGCTGGCCATTGTACCCTCAGCAAAGCATTTGTTGGGGTCTTTTTTCAGCTGTGGATAAATCCAGGTGAAGCGCTCGCGACAGCAGGACGAGGTCTTTAAAACAGAAAACAGTTCATATCAATGAAATCACTGCAATTTGTTTCTTCTCTCACATAAGTGAAGGAAATGAACGCAAATGTTTCTCTTCGAGTTCAACTGTGGTCATCACCCGTCATCACCCGTTGACCCCCGTAACTGCACCTCCTCTGTCAGTGTGTAAGCTGCTGCACACAAGAGGAGGGGTTTACAGGAGAGGAGTTCAATGTCTTTCAAATAAACTGTATGAACTTAATAGTCTGGTTATTAAGAGCTGCTTTCCCCCCTCTTCAATAAAACTTTATTGGATGAAGTTTTGTACAATCGTGAACAAAACAGCAGGAGGAGCGAACAGAGACCAACAACTCTGCACAGTGCAGAGAAAATGGAAAGAAGCTCAGAAAGCTGCTGTGACTAAACAGAGCTAGCATTCCTATCTTGTTAGTGTGTTAGCATTTAGCTCAGCAGCTACGGTAGTTTATCAACGCCCTGCGAGTCTCTACTGTAACTCACCGAGCTTTTAACAATACTTCATTTTTCGTTTCAAACCGCATGGATGAATTTTGCTCTGTGGGCCAGAGGGATAAGATGAACCAGGTGTTGGACTCAGATTATACTTGCTACCTGTCAGTTTTAGTTTCAGTTTTGCTCTTTGCATGGGATTAGTTAACAATAACAAAAACACCAGTATCCTTGAAATTGCATTATGGTGCCTTCAAGGCTCTAAATTCTGGACTGGAGGTTGTAAAACATGACAAAGGCTTTTATGTGCTTCTGAAACAAAGGCTCTGTTAAATGTAGAAGTGCCACGGAGCCACTTTGTGCTGCAGCTGCTGAATGAAAAGACTGCAGCAGGAATGCACACGACGCTTCAATTAATTTATAGGCCTGAAGTGGTTGAACATGTAGAGTTCTTAAAATCTCCTTTAAATAAAACCATAGGGAAGATACCGGCCACAGCTGCTGTTTTTCTCACACACACACACACACACACACACACACACACACACACACACACACACACACACACACACACACACACACACACACACACAAGAAAAGACAAACTCATGTCTGTGCAAAAATATGCAACAAGTCGACGAACAAAAATAGAAACACGCTCTCCTGATTATCCCCTCACATCGTGCTTCGCTGTCTGGATGATATAACGAGGCTGTAAATGTCATGAATGTGCCGCCCAGAACAAGTTTTGACCCAGTTCACACAGACTTTGAATCTGGGTTATCTGTTGACTCTGATCCGCCTCAGTGGTCTCAGGGAGCAAGTCCCGGTCACCACACAGAGCTCACTATTGACCGCTGTGTGTTGAAGTGATGCAGCCGTCACCCGTCCAGCCCAAACACACACACACACACACTCACACAGTGAATTCACAATGACCAGAAAACACTTCAACACAAGTGAGACTGAGCTCCTCGTCTTTCCTGAGGAGAGCAGCTCATAACTCACGGGGGCGTTTTTTTGAAGCTCACACCAGCAGGTCTGATGGACGACACCGGCGCCGTCGGTGTAAATGGAGGCGTCAAACTACATCCGGACACAAGTGAAAACACGGTCAGAGTGTCGCAGTAATTACACCAGACGTATGACTAAATAGCCACCTACACGACAAACAAGGGGAAGTTTCTCAAGACTGACACCAAGTCTGACAGGTTTGACTCCAAAACACACAAACAAACAAAACTCTGTTGTTGTCTCACTGCTGAGATGTGATACAGAGCTGAAACAATTAGTCAATTAATCAATTAGTTGGTCGACAAAACAAATTTACTGCTCACTCCTTCCATAATTAATTCATGTTCTCAAACACAAAAACTCTAAAGACGACACTATTGGCTCTGAGTAACAGGGTTAACTCACTTTTTTCTGACATTTTATACAATAAATTGTTAATTAATTAATTAATTAATGGTGAAAATAATCCACAGATGAATCAATAAATGAAAGACGTTTTGCATGTCGTGAAGCTCACCAACCTCTAACATGTTGAGGAGATGAAAGAGTCAAGAGGGAAAACTCCAGCGACATCTGTAGTGTAAAGAACAACTGAACAGTGCAGTTCAGAAGGAGGACTAATCTTCATCGGTCACAGTCTGTGCTCAATCCCTGGATCATATCTTTGTGTTTGGTTGTGGTCACAGTGAGCGATGACGTGAGCAGAGATGATCACTTCTGACTCACGAAAGAATGTGAATGTAGCATCACAATGATT